AATCCCAATCCGAAGTGAAAACAACTGAGTGTACAGTGATATCCGAACCTTGTGATGGAGTTTCTGTAGGGACCCCGAAAGTTAACGATAATGAGATCGCCCCCGTAGGGTCCCCCAAGGAATTGGGTATAGAACATGTAACTTTCGAGGTCCAGACAGAACAGGGATCACCGGGTGTCGGGTCAGAAAGCGGGCATGGGGCGTCTGTGTTGACACCGGAGCAGCTTGCACTCCTTAACACTGAATTGGAGCGAGCATGTTTGTTGTGTGAACAGCAAGTGTTGATTGCACAGAGCAATGCCCAGGCCCTATACAATCCTCGGCAGCCGAAAGGTCAAGGGACAATCAACCTTCTCGAAATCAGCATAGGGGTTCAGGGTCATGTTGGTAGGTTTTTGGGTGGTGTTCATGGAAAATGGCATAGAGTTGATTTTGCCCGAAAAGACCTGACAGGCGCCAGCTTCAGGAACACAATTTGGAAAATGATGACCGCGATTTCCCCACGACATTTGTGGTTGAGTGTTGGTCTGCAAACTTTGAACGCTGCTGAACAACATGTTCTGAGGGAATTGTGCAATGAACTGTATTTTGAGCAAGTGTCCAGCGGAAACCATTTTCACTTGTGGTGCAGTCCAGTGTGCTCTGATCTTCTGGATGGGGAGTCCGATGTACTTACGGGTACACTACCTACTTATTATCATCTTGGTCATGTTCCCAGAATTCACCGCCTCCAAGGGAACAACTACTTGCGTCAGAACATGAATTTTCGGACCACATCGTTAAAAATTCATCAGGGTATGGACTATAGGTACCTCGAATTCTATAAGGACAATCTCCCCAAAACTTCTGGTTATGGATTAGGACTTGCACGTTGTTTGGCTATGTTGATTCGAACTTGTGGAGATGAGCGCCCCTTAGCCGTTGAAGAATTGTGTACCCATGTTGATGGAAAACGAGATATGTCACAACTTTCTGAGACCTGTGGGCAGGTCCTGAAACGACGAAAGTGCATCAACAAACAGGCTCCATCTCATCACAATGGGTACGGAAAGGCTACAGCAGATTGGCAGCACGTCTTCAAGAGTTTGAATAAACGGGCCCCCAGGGTAGGAAATTGCATAATTCCCCCAGACGATGAAATCATTCAAAACATTCAGCAGCTGATACCTGAGATGAAGGTACATCATGTCGAAGCATGTCGGGGCACCAACAGACTTCGCATTCCCCTAGGTCAGTATGATGTACACCTCATCCGATGTCGAAAAACCATAGTGATTCACCGCAACTCCGGAAATATTGAAGATTGTGGACCGGTGGAAGATTGGTCCGTGTTGCCTAAGTACAAGCAAATCCGACAAGGAAAACCAGCCAAAATGGCCATCACCGTATTTGGCACTACCGACAATCCGCTACCGTCCAGTACCCCAAATCAGGAGACCGGCCGGACCGAAACCCGAGAAACCGCCAATGCTGAGGAGGTTCCGATGGACACCGTCACCGAACCCAATCCGGCACCAGCATCAACGGCCAAT